CTATTTATTTACGGGTACCAGAGATTGAACCCAGAGTTTCTTTTCCACTGAGCTACATCTCCAGCCCTTTTTATTTATTTTATTTATTTTAATTTTGAGACAGGGTTTCACTAAGTAGCTGAGAGCCTCAGTAAGATGCTGAAGCTGGCTCCTGCCTCAGCCTCCTCTGCCACTGGGATCCTCCTGCCTCAGTGTCCCGAGCCCCTGGGATGACAGGCATGCACCCCGTTGCCCAACCTCATTTTAAAACTGACGTCTTTTTAACCTTCTTGTCCCTCTCCCCCTCCCTACCTGAGGTGAGCAGGAAGAGTTAAGGCTAGGCAGACAGGGAAATGGGCCCCAGGGCAACTTCCTGTGCCGCGCAGCAAAAACAGCAGCTGCAAGATTTTGATGAGAAACTTGCAAAAAGTTATTTTAAATCCGGACATGCATGACCTGGAGTCCATAGGAAATTGGGACATATGTAACCTGGAGGCCACGGCCTCTCCAAAGAAGGAAAATGCTTGATCAAAAAAAAAATTTTTTTTTTGTACTGGGGAACTCACGGGCACTCAACCACTGAGCCACATCCCCAGCCCTATTTTATATTTTATTTAGAGACAGGGTCTCACTGAGTTGCTTAGCGCCTCGCCATTGCTGAGGCTGGCTTTGAACTCAGGATCCTCCTGACTCAGCCTCCCCAGCCATGGGATTACAGGCATGCGCCATCACACCAGCTTGATTAATATTTTCACTGGACTAAAGGCTGCATGAATGCCTCAGGGACACTGAGTGCCTTACCCAAGATTGAGCCAGGAGCTGACATCCTTAAATCTACAGATTCAGATAAACCCTAGACTATAGCCATCCACTGTCAACTCTCTCAGTTCCCCTCCCAGTTTCAGGAGCTTTGCTTTGCTTTAACAAATGCTTATACTTGGCTTTCACCCACTAGCATCCATGAAACATCTTTGAATTAGTGATTCAAAGACCCACACAATTCCGCGCTCAAGGTTATTGAGGGAAGCAAGAGTAACTTCTTCCTGTCCTTGGCCAAGTTATCTGCTCCTAGGCTCACTGACCACAGGAATAATGGAATTCCAGGCTTCAGAGCTGGCACCAGCAGGTCTAGGAGAGACTATCTTTCAAGGCCATGAATAAATTGACTCCTGAGGCTTTGTATCATTTTGTTTTTTTAAATTAATTTTGTAACTAGGGATTGAACCCATGGGTACTTAACCACTGAGCCCCAGCCCCAGCCCTTTTTATTTGTCTTAGGACAGTTCCACTAAGTTGCTCAGGGCCTTGCAAAATTGCTGAGGCTGGCTTTGAACCCTCAATCTTCCTGCGTCAGCCTCCCAAATTGCTAGGATTACAGGTGTGCACCATGCACCCAGCTTATCCTAGAATTTTTTGATTCTCCTTCCTCAGCCTCCTTTTGATTGACTCAAAAGTGAAGCAAATATTTTAGAGGTGACAGAACTATTCTACATCTTGGTTTTGGTGGTAAGAGGTGGAAATGTTAACTAACCTGATTTAATTATTAGGCATTGGGCTGGGGATGTGGCTCAAGCGGTAGCGCGCCCGTCTGGCATGCGTGCGGCCCGGATTCGATCCTCAGCACCACATACAAAGAAAGATGTTGTGTCCGCCGATAACTAAAAAATAAATATTAAAATTCTCTCTTTCTCTCTCTCCCCCCCCACTAAAAAAAAAAGTTTAATTATTAGGCATTACAAACATGTATCAAGTTTTCACACTGTACCCCATCATTATCTAAAATTAAAATAATAATATGTAAAAAGCAATGCTTTGTAGGAAACCACAAAGGTGGATAAGACATTTTGCAAGTCCCAGACGGTAGTTTGAGCAGAAGCACTGCACACAGGAAGTAGAGCCCATACCAGAGAATCTACTTCAATAAGAACAAAACTCCTCCGAGGTGGGAATGTCCCTGTCACCAGGTTATGTGCTGTACTGCAGACTCTCTGCTGCTCTATATTTGGCACTCACAGGGGTTGGCCAGTGGCAATATTAACCACATCACACCGGGGACCACAGGTGCCCTCTTCCCCATTAGAACTAGAGTTATTGGTGTGTTGAAGTCACTAATCATGTAAGTACATAACGTGCACATTTTACAGTATATTAATAGTTAATTATGTATCTGTATATATGATATGTAAACATGTAAGATTCTGTTTCCTAGACCACCTTCAGTACCCTGTCTATATCAGTCAGGGTCCACTTACAGAAATAGAATCAGTTTAGTGTTAAAAAGTCAAGTCCCAGGCCTGGGGTTGTGGCTCAGTGGCAAAGTGCTTGCCACACACGTGGGAGGCACTGGGTTCAATCCTCAGCACCACATAAAAAATAAACAAATGAAATAAAAACATGCTGTCCATCTATAACTACCAAAAAAAAAAAAAAAAGTCCCATTGGGCTCTGTAGATCACACCTGTAATCCCAGCAACTGGGGAGGCTGAGGCAAGAGGATGGCAAGTTCAAAGCCAGCCTCAGCAACTTAGTGAAGCCCTAAGCAATTTAGCAAGATCCTGTCTCAGAAAAGGGCTTGGGGATGTGGCTCAGAGGTTAAGTGCCCCTGGGTTCAATTCCTAGTACCAAAATAAAGCCAAGTACCCTAGTGAACTAGTGAGATATATATATGGTGTTTACTTATTGTTTTATTTTTTGTTACTAAGCATTGAACCCAGGGGTAGTCTATCACTGAGCCA